AAATAAATTTTTTTGTTTTGTTTTGGGAGCATTTACAATTAGTTTCGATAGATTATCTTTAGTTCAACAACGTCACACTCATCTCCAACCATCAAATTCAAAATCTTACTATGAAGGTTGTGATATAAAGTTTGATAAATTTTGAAATTTTGTTTAAGACTTTTGGCATGGTAAGTGCCGCACCTCTTCCCGGTAGCAAAAGTAAATGTCCTATCATACGCTTTTCTATAATACATATACCATATTTCATACACCATATATAATATATCGTTTTTATATTCTTACATATAAATATTACATACATATATGTAGTATATATATATTTCATGGGCTTTTTTGTCATGTAGAATTTGACCTAACCCGGTTAACTTAGACACAGACCCTGACCTAGTACCAATTTCGAACCAAATTAAAGATATGAAAAGAACAAAATATCCATGTCATTTGCAATTTTCATGAAGTGAACTGAATGACATTTTGATTAAAGGAAAGATAAGACTTTTTAAGCCCAAATTATTATATTACACCTGACCAAAGGAGGAAAGATAAGACTTTTTAAGCCCAAATTATTATATTACACCTGACCAAAGGAAACCAGATTCACGTTTACTGAATGACATTTTGATTAAAGGAAAGATAAGACTTTTTAAGCCCAAATTATTATATTACACCTGACCAAAGGAAACCAGATTCACGGTTAATGAATGACATTTTGATTAAAGGAAAGATAAGAATTTTTTCCTTTCAGTGGTTTGAGTAATTTAGTTGGGAAGACATATCCCTATTCGTTTTTTTAATAGATTGGGGAGTAACATTTTGAAAATATTAATTAGGGGTGTCAACGATAGAAATGGATACGTTTTTTTAATAGATTGGAGAGTAACATTTTGAAAATATTAATTAAGGGTGTCAACGATAGAAATGGATACCATAATGTGATAGTGTTGTATGAAAATGCTACCACTGCGACGCTAGCCCCTTTCCTAGTTTAGCTATTTTGACAAATTGAAAAGATGCTTCTGGCTAGCGCTGAGTGCCAAATTAAAATGTGAGACCTATATTTGAGTATATGGGAGTTGCTATTGCCACTCCGGTTAGTGTAATATACCAAACCAGATGCCAATCCAACTCAAGACTGGTTCATCGAGCCTAAAAATTTCAAGAAACAAAAGTTATGGGATTCTTCTCATTTATAAATTTTTTTCTTCTGATTTCGATTTAACGTAGTAGGGTAAGAATTACTTGAATTGGACCATGAAAATTAGATTATGATGAGTGGCAAGTTAAAATCGGATGAGACAATGTTTCAAAACCCAAATTGGTACGGTTGGAATTTAGAAGAGCCTAAAAAAATGATAGGTAACTTTAAATAAATATAAATAAGCGGTTTTTAGGTAGGAACTAACCCATGATCTATACTATCGTAAAACCGGTTAGTCCTGTCCAATTTAAATCGCTAACCGGGGAATTTTAGGGTGGCAGAATCAGAAATGCTGGGTGGGTTACCAATAAAAATGGTGGGCCGATACTAACTCCTAAAAATAAAATAAAAAATTAAGAAGTAAATTATAAAGCACAACCACGTAGGTGTGCGGCCACACCACCAAAATCTCGTCGAGAGTGGGAGCCACGTGGATGTCAGGCGGAGGGGACGGGTGGTGGGTCCCGTACGGCCGTCCGGTGTAAGTAACGGCGGAATCCACGGCGTCATTCGTTGGCATGCCAACTGTAACGCCAAAAGTAACGGCCGACAAACGCCAGAAACCAGTCACTGTTACTCTTTCTATCCTTTTTCTAAATAGTTTTCGGACCTTTTTCCTTTCAACTTTTCTTTTTTCACTTTTCTGGTTAATTTAGTCCACACCGAAATAAGTGCTTGTTTTAGGAGAATATTTGTTTTTTTTTTTTTTTGATATGTGTTGTTTATGAGAGTATTTGTTCCCCAAATATTTGTAACCCGGGGACTCTTGAGGGCAGGGTTTTCTTTCATAGCTATCGAGATCCGCTAAGCATAGTGGTGGTGGCGATGGATTCGAACCCAACTCCGGACCCGAGTAGATTTGATTTGGGTTCGGGTAAGAATACTATTTTGGTCGGGGTTTGGGTATGGTAATAATTTTTGGATCTCAATATATAAAATATGTTTAAATATAGATCAATATATGGATATTTTAATATTTGGGTTGGGTCCGATAGGTCTGGTCTGGTGCGACAAGTTTGGATCCGGTCGGGTCCTAGTGCCATATAATTTTTTTTGATCCGGTCTCGACCAGATATGTTGCGACCCCTAGCTGAGCATGCGAAATCCTGGAAAGATTAAAGATCCGTGCTAGATCTATTGATTGTCGACCTGGATTGGTCTAAATCAACAGTATGGAATGATACTAAAAAAAAAAAAAGAAAAAAAAATGAAATTGAGGTTTCGTCAAGGTTTGGGGACCTCCTTAGAACTAGTTCTATCCTAATCAATTTTTTATTTGAAATGGTGATTTCCAATCCGGATGAGAGAGGTTTAAAATATTGTATAAGTAATTCTAAGAGGGCATATTGCCAACCCACCATGCCTAATATGAATTTCGGTTTCTGATCTAGATTCAAGGACAAACGGCAATTTGGCTGGCTTGCATTTACAAAATAAAAAATAAAACAAAAAATATTTAAATTTCCCATTTCTTTGAAGCACTTAGACGAAGTGTGCTTTTATAAAATTGAGGTTCATCATAAATTTTAAAGAGAAAATGTTGGCAATCATGTTAGATTGGTATAGAGATACTAAATAATTGAAATAAAACACGAACAATGATGATGATGATTTAGGTAAGACTCAACGTGGGCCAGACCTATACCATTGGATGAGCCCAATCGACTGTAGCTGATTAAAATGAGAAAAACAAATTTGTATGTTTCTGAAGATTTAATTTCCTCTATGTAACTCTTATGCTGTCTCTGTCGATAAAAGCTTCTCGATTTTGTCAAAAAAAAATAAAATAAAAAATAAAAAAAAGAAAAGAAAAAGAGAGAGAGAAAAAGGATTTGGAACGGGGCGAGTTGTTGGGTGGTGAAAAGAGATTGGCTGCTTTGCTTTTTAACTTTTAAGAGGAATTTAATGGTGTTTGTAATTTGGGAATTTTTATTGACGAGAATCACCCTTATCTATTATGAAATGTTCACTCTGGCCTAAGCACCAAAGTAGTTCGTAGTTGTGGAGACAAGTAGTCAAGCTCCTATCAATTTGGTAAATGACACAGTCATTTTGGTTCACAGTGATTTTCTTCGTCAGATGTAATAGAGTCCCACTTCTCTCTCTCTCACTCATATACCATAATTTTTACTTCTACCGTATTATCTTTCTCGCTTGGGTAGTTCAACGTCAGGTGTAATGTAACATTGCTAATGTCAATTATTAATCACTTAAATTCGAGACCGATTTTTTCAATTTATTGTAATTTTTTGCCGTCCGATACAATTGACGTTCTCTTTCTCTCTCATTTTCAGTGTCTTACCATATTTTTCCTACCTCTCTCTCTCATGTTCACTGTCTTGCAGTGATTTTTCTCATCAGACGTAATGGACACCCCTCTCTCTCTCTCTCTTTATCTGTATGTACTATTATTCAGAATATCTTATCCTTAGTTTTCAAAACAATGATTTATGGTTTCTCTACTTTTCTTTCTCTAGAATCTCCATATTAAGCTTTGTTTTTCCAACTAAATGAAATGTCCCTCTCAAGATTAGGTAAAAACTTCCAATTAGGGGTTGGGCTACTCATTGCACAAGAGAAAGATATAAATTGTCAATTGTCATCACGTAAGACTAGATCCTAATTTGAAAGATTCAATCCACACTCAACAATAGATGGAGAAGAAAACCAAATGGCACCCATTTTTTCAACTATGGATTGATTGATACATAGTAAAAGAGCTTAATAATTATGTTATGTCATGACATAGACTAATTTAATATTTTACAAACTCGCCTTGAAGATTTGCAGTCAGAGTCAAGAGCAGACTCAAAATCATTGGGATTGCATGATTTTTGAAACTTTTTATCGTTCGTATTAAAATTGCCCAGATCGACGCAGAATCGCCCTTGTTGAATTCAGGGACTCGGTCTCGATCTCGGGTGTCCGATCTTGAGCCCAAGTTTCTAAACAATGTTAAGAACATATCGATCAAAAGTCAACATTTTGACGCTTTTAAAATTACAAAATTATCTAAACGGATAAATCAGTCATTTTTTTAATATAGGGGTATCAATGTCTATTCTCTCACTTAAAAAGTAATATTATTGTTGTCGTACGAAGTTATCTAAAGGGAAAGCTTATCACCTGGTTATTTAATGGGCTCATCAAGAGAGAGAAACAGCGGCCTTTGGGAAGAGAGAGAAGGCAAAACACTCGCGAAAATCAGCCATTTCTATGCATTGAGGTGAGTCTCCATCACCAGATTCTTCAAGCTTTCCATCAAATCCAATTATTTTCTTTCTCTGTAAAACCCAAAAGCCAATACCTCGGCAATCTGTAAAACAAATCCTTATCAAAGATTGTTCACAGGCTTTTTCATTCTTTTTTTCACCCCATCTTTCGAATTTGCCGATGTTTGATCCGTTTAAAAAAAAAAAAAAACCAAAAGAAACCCTGAAAAAGCTGCAAAAATGGGTATTGCCCTGTAAAGATCCTTCAATTATCAGATTTTACAGACTACCTGTCCGCTCTGTAATGGTTGTTAACTCTGAACTTTACTTCCACAACGAACCAGCTAGATTCCCTACAAGTAAAAACAAAACCCTAATAAATCTCACACTGCCACTTTTAACAGTAAAAACCCTAGAATCTTATACTGAAGAGGTAACAAAACCATGGCATTAACTGTTAAGTACGAAACTGTTAAATTTTAGAACCGTCTAATCCAAAGAACCAACCATCTAAGTGAAACCCTAAAACTTCACCACGAAAAGGACCGTATGAATCCCTAAAGGCCAACTGCAACAGTGAAAACCCTAAAAGTCGGGCCTCATTCATGATTCCTTTTCTTTTGCAGCAAATTCTTGATCACGGACGTTGTACTGAAACGGACCACGGAAAAAAATAAAAAAAAGTAGAGAGGGGAAGAGAGAGAAAGAAAGTAATAATAATCACACCATTGACGTTTGCTTTTACCAAAATCCTTACAGCTAGTACCAGGCATGTACTTGTTCCCGTACTCAATAAAAAACCCACAAATTTTTATTGGCTCTCCCCTTATTTATTTCCTTATTTAATACTACATGCCTACCACACCTGTGGCTAACTCCTTTCTCCCTCTACACATACACTGAGTCGGACTTTCCTCCCCTTACTTTCTCTCTCTATAAACAACTTGCAGTTTCGTCTTCCTCCTTTCTCTCTCTATAAATTTCCTGGGGTTTCTTTTCTTAGTTTCTCTATAAGAGTTAAGTTTAGTGCTCGCCATTTCTGCTACCCTCGAGCTCAGATCTTGCGTTTTTCTCAGACATCCAACGGCTGAGAGGCGCACGATGAAGATGAAGCATCTAATCCGACGGCTCTCGCGCGTCGCCGATTCGTCCGAGTACGTTCTGCTTCGATCGGAGTCGAGGGCCGCGAGAGATCGGCGATCCGGAGCAAGAATGGGAAAAGATCGCCAATCCGATGGGAATGGGGGACAAGATCGGCGAGGTCAAGGGGGGAGGAAGGTCCAGGAGGGGCACGTGCCGGTTTATGTTGGCGAGGAGATGGAGAGGTTCGTGGTGTGCGCCGAGTTTTTGAACCACCCTGTGATCGGCGAGCTCCTGAAAAGATCGGCGCAGGAGTACGGGTACGAGCAGGAGGGGGTGCTGAGGATTCCGTGCCACGTGGCAATTTTTAAGCGAGTATTGGAGGGGTTGGAGTTGCGCGGCGATGTCGACGAGGAGTTGCTGGCGATTAGTGAAGCTGAGCTCCTGTAAAATCCTCTCTCTCTCTCTCTACTAAATACTCTCTCACACGCTCTGGTTTCTTTTTCTAGGTTCTGTGAACTCTCTCTCTCTCTCTCTGCAATTCCTCTCTCTCTCTCATCTTGGATTGAGGGTTTCAGAAGAGGGTCCCCATGTAAATACTCTGCGGCAAAAGAGCAGGAGATTTTTAGGGTTTTTTTTTTGAAGGTTTTCCAGTCCTTTGTTTATGTACAGGAAACGGCGTCTTTCTGTTACAGAAGAGATGATGGTGAAGCAATGAGTAAAACCCTAACTTTTTCTTTTCTTATTTCTTTTCACATTTGATTCTTGGTTTGTGGAATGTAGCAATCTTTATTTACTTTGGGTTTTGAGTGTAGAGACTGTGATTGTTACGGATTCAAGCACAATGTTTAGTGGATTTTCACTTTGTATATTTCCTTTTTGGTTTTGTGTTTTCAGTAAGGATCTTAGTTCATTTGGTGGGGAAATGGTGGTTAACCATTTTAACTGAACATTACCCGATTTACCTATTTTATTTGTGTGCGCAGTGAGCATAAATGTTTAAGAGGTGTGGGCATGAGTGTAGAGAGAGGATTGACCTCAAGTCCTCAACAATGGAGACTGGGTCCTCAACTCTGAAGAGAAAAATTCTGAGTTACAAAGAGAGAGAGGATGGGACATTGGGTGTGATTGAGTAGTTCTATGGGTGTGAGCATCAATATACAGAATCCCTCTGTACATATGTGTAGATTTGCACAAGGGCGTGGTTTTTATAAAGTTGCAGCCTTAAACAATCCAATTAAGGCGTACCTTCAAATTTTATTATAATATATAATTTTGGTGTGAATGTTTTTTAAGATTATTTCAAAGGAAATGACCTTACGAGACTTTCCCACATTATGTGTAGGACTCCATAAGTTCACCATTAAATTTCGTATAGTTCTCTAAAAAAAGTCAAGTCTCGTACCATATGATAATTTTTTTAGAGATCTGTGTCAAATTTAATGGTGCTCTTTTAAGGTCCGAAAGTCTCATAGGATCATTACTCTTATACCAAAATCTATTTTTATATCAAATTATAAAATTTTAAATTTTAAAACTGGTTAAAATCAAGTAGATTTATAAATATATTCACATCTTAAAAATGGACGGTCTGAAAAATGTGTTGCAAGATATATTGTTTCTGGGACTCGTAATATTTTTTTTTTCATTTTCATATATCTTGATGTTGAGATGATCAATTAGAAGGTTTTCCAATATTAAAAGAACTTTTATTGATGGATTTTTGAGTTGGCTTGTTAACTCTACATTATAAAGTGGAATTGTCGCATTGCGTGTTGTGGCATGCACCGAAATAATTGAAGAATAAAGCAATTTGGAATGGTTGCAGTTTGTATAAAGCCGAAGCTCCAAATAATCAAAATAAAATACACCTTCAAATAGTATCGAAAAATGTGGTTTCAATACTGAAAATATTTGTAATAGCATTAAAATATATTTTATCTTTAATTATAAAATTTCAAGTTTAAATCAAACATATCTACGGAATTTTGGAAATCTTAAAAATTGATGGTCCAAAAATGAGTTAAAAGATGGACTATTTCCGAAACTTGAAATCCAATTTTTTATTTTCTCATTTCTGTAGATCTTAATGTCGAGATGATCAATTTGAGTATCAAAACAACCTCTTCAAGTTAAAATTTCAAGGTGAGCGCTAATTTGATTGTTTAGAGCCCCGATTTTCAGTAAAACTTTTTCCTTTTGTATTTAAGAGAGAGTTGAAGGAAGAGAACGAGAAAGTTGAAGGAGGAGAGAGATTCAAAGGAGGAGAAAGAGAGTTAAAAAGGAAGGGCTGTTGCTTGCACGCTTGCCTGCCTGGGAGTAAGACCTCTCTCCTCCTCAAATCGTCTTTTCTATGGTCTTCTTCTCTTTAATAATATGATAATACAATCTTTGTGGACCGATTCTATGAGAAGTGGTCCCTCATTCTCTCTCTTTTTCTTTTTTTTTGGTTCTTTATCAAATTTGGAGCATCTTCGAACAAATTTCTATCCTCTCTTGTGTTATTGGTTTTGCAAATCTCTCTCTTATTTTAATTTAATACATTTCTCACTCTGAAAAAAAGAGAAGGAAACTGGTTTAACAGGGCCGCAGCTCTGTCCACATAAGGAAAGCTTCACCTCTTATAGCTCAACGAAAATTACAATTCAAGCTTTGGAAAACTCTATATTGATCATCTAAGCTTGAATATTATGGTAGTGAGAAGAGATTAGAATTTCAAACTCTAAAAGTAATGAATATTATAACAAATTATTTGGGCCTCGTCTTAAATATATAGCAATTTTTTTTTGGTCAAAAAAAAAAAAGTTATGCAAGTTCTGTACCATTTATTTGAGTTTTAAATTCTATTATCGATGTTGAAAATCGATTTTAGAGCCGTCATAAAGATTTATGTTGTTAAATGTGCTATTCAGATGTAGATTTGACACGAGGCTTTTGTTTTTATAAAACTTAGGCCTCATAGAAACTTCCTCCAGAATTACATCAAGTTGGGGACAATAATGCCTACTTTTATAATTTTTGGTGGGAGTGTAGGAGAATCGCTCCTCTACGTTATATTGGATCAAAATACGAACACAATTCCATCCTACCATTCTTAGAGGGGTGGCAATGGGTCGGGTCCAGCTGGATCAGACCAGACCCAAATAGATTCGGGTCCAGGTTTTGGACCCGTACCCAACTTATCTCGTCAGAAAATTGGACCCATATCCATACCCGTCGGGTCTCGTGTCTCCATTGTCACCATCACTATGATGCTTCTTTTTGTTTTTTTTTTTCGCCCTTTTTACCATCATATACCCGTATTATTGGCAATAAAGTCACAATCACACGCTATTAAATTTCAAGCCAAGTAATTTGTTATTTAATAGTTAAAGATGGCTACTAATTCTAATAATTATATATAATCCTTAATACGCCCAAATGAATAGGGCTTAAAGTAAAGCATTTTATCTCTAACAGTTTATGGGTATGGGTCGGGTCCATATGGACCTGAAGCCGGACCCGGACCCGGACCCGTATAGTGTTGGGTTCAAGTTTTGGACCTAAACTCGACCTTCTGGGTCTAAATGCTAAACTCATACCCGAGGTCTCAGGTCGGGTCTGGGTTCATTTTCAACCCTACATTAAAGTCCTACTTCCAAGTAGTTTAGAAGGAAATGCATCTCCTATTTGCAGCAAGAAGTAGGAACGGAACTCAAGGACATGGCGCCTCGCTGCCCATGATTACTTAGCATTGAGGCCATTCGTAAGTGTAATTCCAAGTTAATTATTGCGAATCACACGTTTTTTTTTGGATGCACAAGACATATTTCCACCGTTGTTTACAATGTTAAAAGCTTTAAAATGGTGTAAAATGAGCCCATCCATAATCATTACAAATCTTTAAATAATCTTTATTTGGACATGTTTTGTCTTCCATATTCATACATCTAGAGGTCAAGGAGATCAACTTGAGGGTTTTCCGGTGCTGAAACAACCCGTTTTAGAGGAGCATTTCGGTACGACTTACTTTTATAGGGTTTTCGAGGTCGCCCAAACCCACACTGACCTACTAATCCCCCTCACAAGCCCATGTTGGCATCCTTAATTGTTGTCTTTCTTAAAGTGTCGAAATATGTTCTTCAATTTTATTTTAGTAGTTCAGTGTGCAAGGGATCCCCTCCGCGTGATAGAAATAGAAATGAAAATGTCACAATGTGGCCCTGGTCGCCCTGACCACCTACTCTTGAGCTCATTCTTGTTCTTCTAAGTTAAGTATTGAAAATCTCACTTTTACTTTCGATTGAGAAAATATAGAATGAGACAATTTACCTTTGATATACGGTGTTCACATTAATTTTGACTATTGGATGTGAAATTGGGTGGATGCAATTATTTCATTGACCAAGTTCAAACTTCAAAATAAATTCTCTCGAACTTTGTGACACATCAAAGCTATCTAATTTCATATCAAATGGTGGTAAGGAATTGTAACCATTTTGTATAAATGGTCTCTTTGTATACCATCCCTTAATTTTGAGGTGAGGTGTGGTTTATAGTATAAGTTTAAACAATTAAAGTGTACTTTTAAACTCAATCAAAAAGCACATTTTAGTTTTGGAGCAAAAACTTTTAAAATGGTGCACAATGAGTAGATTTATAAGCACTTGAAAGTCTTAACAATTGATATTCCATATAACGTATTATATGATGCATTATTTTTAGGACATAATTTTTTTTTTTTCTTTTTTCTTATCCATGTCTAGAGTTCAAGATGATGAGTTGAGGGTTTTCCTATACTAAAACAGCCTAGTCAATTTTTCAGGTCTGCGTTAATTTTATAATATAAGATTCAAATGGTACCATGCTCCATGTTACATTTGTGAAGCCAAATCACACATGTGATTTTTATATTTGATTTTTTTCTCTTTTATTTTGGGCTATTGGATTGCACCTAGTCAAATGGTTGAGATGTTGTAGAAACTTTTCTCTTTGAAAGGGTTTTTTTTCACTTTGTTTATTGAGATAAAGAGTGAAAAATGATAGAGAGATTGGCGGAAATTGGGTCTTCTTTTGGGGGTCTTTTGTATACTTTATTTTAGAGAGAGAAAATAGCAAAAGCTTGAACCCATTGTGGGTATGCTGCTGGCCTTGTTTCTGTGAGAGCAAGTATAAAAAAGATCCCATTTTTTGGTGTTATTGGTATCCTATTTAGGATGAAGAGGGGTTGTTGAAAATTGATATTTTGAATTTGATTTCACTTTGAAATCTTTCCAAATCAACAAGTAAAGTCTCGCACCATTCTCCTGTATATAAATCACGTTTTGTGGCTGAACCACATTAAATTTTTGTACTATGTGAATACATGTCGTTGTATTTTTGTTTCTTGTTGATGTTTTGATGCCATATTCTTTCGGCCCACCTTAAAAAGTATTGTTGTCTTCAAGGTTGACGTAGTGGTTTAAAATCACTGAGCCGATCACCTAGACTTGGAATCCTTTCAGTTTGCTCGGGAGTGGGAGCCTTGCTAACTGCTAAAAAATCGGCCAAGTTTTCAAACCCTAAGATCATATTGTTATTTTTTTATTGATTATTACTCAGTTAGAGTATGTACCGCTCAAGTAGAAGAATGGATACTCAAGCTCGAATCCTTGTTATTTTTTATTACTCAGTTTGAGTCTGAACCGATCATATCGTTATTTTTTTTATCCTGCAAGAGCATAAAATATTTTAACCATTTAGAAATAGATGGTCTATATTTGATTTTCAAATATATTTACGCCATTTTTTTAGCTCGAAAGGCTCTTTTTTTTTTTTATTGGTTTAATGGATTACTATTTTGGGGTGCTGTATAATAACTTGAGAAAGAGTTTAGGCCTCTCCCAATACTTC